AAAACTATTTATTTGTATTAGTAAACTCAATTAGGAATGAGTGAGAAGAAATAAAAAAGGGAGTGAAAATACGCCTTGTAATGGTGGTTTGCAATGGAAATACTTACACCCAAGCACTTTCTTTGGTTTTCGATGAAACAAGTGCACGGCGCATCCCACAGGGGTTAAGAATCTTTAGAACACTCTGGGTCTTCCCTCTTCGACAATGTTCTTGCTAAGCTTCTGATTTATTTCCTTTGAAATTGGTGTCCTTACAAGGTTTTAAGATTCTTTCAATCAGCCTTTCCTACAAATACCTATATCGAAAGCCTTTAGTTCGGTTCGAATAAATTGAGCATTTTATTTCATTCTTCATTCAAATCTAAGCGCTACCCCCTCTCTGTAATCACTTTGCGCTATTAACCAGCGGACACATGGAATTGAAAAAAGGACACCAAACTTGCACTTTCCGAACTATCAGCGATTTCTTCCCATGAGTCGTGTCAAATAAAGAGAATAGTATTTTTGATAAGGAAATAAAGGATAAAGCATTTGCCGTTGATCAATCCCTTTTTGGGATGCGGCACGCATTCTACTTCCATTTGTACATTCGCAGTGGCATTTGAATGCGATGTGGCCTATACAATGACTTGCGGGGGCCAGCCGATGTTCAAGTCAGTGTTTTTTATCCTCCCAGACAGCAGAGTCAACCCTGCGTTGCGCAGTTTCTCAACGGCCACGTTGCGCAGTTTCGCCCGATTAGACACGTTCTCTCGCGCGAACATTCACACTCGCATGCTCGAGCCGTCTGTGTCTCCGCCCATACAGCGTGCGTTGAGGATCTCTCAACGTGCCGTTGAGAACTGCGCAACGCAGGGTTGACTCTGGTTAGCCTAATAGCCTCCCCGGAGCACTGGAAGGCTTGGTTTGCGCGGCGACACGCCCCTTGTCAACTACACATTTCCGCCCTCAGTATTTTCGAAGCGTGGAATACCATTGTTCCACATTAGATCAAATGTCAGAACGACGAATTCTTCGCAATGCTCTTTCTAGAGATCTGAGATGGCTTGTGAAAGCAGAGCATGCCGGAAAGATAGGAGGGGTCGCAAAATGGAACCTACGAGAGATGATCAGCTCTGGAAAATCTGGACCGTATTGTGCCTACGTGGAGCTTCGAAGGCACAATCCATGAACAAATTGAAGTGGTTCTTGCACACAAAAAGGAGTATCAGTGCGGGAAGGGCTGGCAATGAAAAAAAAAAGAAAGGAATCCGGCAAAACGCTAAACTCAAGGGCTTGCTTACTTTTTTGCTAAGGCATTGGAGAGATGGGGGAATAGGACGACGACTGGAAAGAAGATGTGCAAGAGGGTAAAACGGATAAAAGTATGATGCGACCATGATTCGACTTCCATTTCCACGATTTGTAAAAATGTTGAACTGAGCGCCCCTGCCTACACAATGACTTCAAAACCTCGTTAATGCTCGTCCAAATGTTTGTGCTCCGGAAGCCTCTCTGCTATCAAGCCTAATCTACCAGAATGGAAGGTTCAACAAGTCGAATTTGCTTGGACCCAGGGGTCACTGAAATGACGCTTCTTGGAGTCATAACAACTCCGCAGTTGGCTCCCAAATATAGAAGAGACAAATGGAACAAGAATTGCTACTGACTGACGTCATCGGAATACGCCATGCAGTTAACTTGATTCAGAGCCGCAGAGACGCTGGATTGCATATGGGGCCCCAGGATTTGCAGAAAAAAAGGGGCGATAATTACGATAGCAATTTCCTGATAACAGATAAGTGTAGTAGTGACCAGCCGAGAACTCAACGATGCAAGGATTGCTTGCGCTACATGAATTCTTTCCCAATGGCCATCCCAGCCGAATGCTCTAGCTCTTGTCACTGGCTTGCTAAACGGAAGAAAGAATACAACAATATCTTCTACTCAAACCTCCTCTCATCTCGCTTAGCATTTTGAAATGCAACTAATTGGTCATGAACTCTCAGGCTTACAAAGCAGTAAAAAAGGCACTATTCACCTTTCACCGCCCAAGCATCAAAAACTGAGCGGTATTAAACGAAATTTACCCATGACTAACAATATAGCTAGAAAATTGTCTTCAGCGCCACTTAAACGTAGAACACGACTATCGGGTTCTACGGGTCGAACTACTCCCGTGGACAACATCCTGGCCAAATCCGTAGTTTTGGGTTTTGATAGAAATCCGGCTCAGTTTGGATCAGTAGTAGTATCAGGAGTGGGGCAGTAAAAAATGTCATTAAATTTCAAATATCATTGAAAACCATAAAGAAGACATAGCTCACAGTATGAGCCAGCCATCCATGGCAAAATTGGTCGTATGCTGGCAATGACTTTCTCACCGCCACCAACACGAGTACATCGAGACGGTATGGTTGTAGAGTTGGCAGGACGTGATCGCGATGACTTCATTTCATTCTGGAATATAATTACTCAGGTGGACATCATATCGCTGAAATAATCACACCTAATTGAAAAATAAATAACGACGGGGAAAACCCCGCAGTCAAATTTGATATAGTACCAATTTGTATGTCGGAAAAGTGAATCGCATAAAAAAGTAATATTGACAGACCTAGACATGTGACGCCTTTCACGAAACCGAGCATTGGCCGTTAAAACGGCCACTTTGACCCTAAATTAGAAATGAAATTGAAATATAAGAAATCAATCCATTGAAAAAGCGAAAAAATACGCCAGCTCAGCAAATTTTCGAGCTCAAAAGAACAGCGACGCATCAATAAAATGTAAAGAAATGGGTGACAAAGTTGGTGTGTCTAGAAAATATTTGGCACTATTCAACTATTACAACCCCAAAATCTCAAAATTTTATTTTTCGTCGAAACTTCCTCTATAGGGGTAATTCGGTGCCCTGATTACGAAAATGACATTCATTTTCAACGGTGGCGCCATCTGGCGCCAGTTGGCGTCACCTTGTCACGACAGTTGTTTTCACCAAACTCGATGTAAACTTCTGGGTAGGGGTAATTTGGTGTCCAGATTACGAATATGACATTCATTCTTGGCGCTAGCTCCATTTAGCGCTTTAATCTCTTCGTCTGCGCCCTCCTAGTGACTAGATCGCGATCAGGACTAAGCTTTAGGAGAGAGGAAAGATATCAGTGAGTGAGCCCCCTACCCTGTGATCTCACACGCTCCATCTTCGTCACACGGTGCCTGATTCACTCATTCCGAGTCTCCCTATCCCCTAAGCTTAGTCCCAAGGCGCTATGTATAGGTGAGAGAGCCCAGAAAAGCGGGAAGTATGCGGTAAACAGCGGTAATGTCAAAAACGAATGTCATATTCGTAATCAGGACATCAAATAACCCCTATACAGAATTTGAGATTTTGGGGTTATAATTGTTGAATAGTGCCAAATAACTGAATAAATGGGTAGAAAACAGCCGCACAAAAAAGAGCAAAATTCAGAGGCAGACTCAAAAGAAACTTCCAGCGATTTGCGATAAGGAAACTGCTGACGACAACACAGTCAGTGGACTTCGGCGGCTGACCGCGTCATAAATGGTGGGGCGATGAAAATCGCAATCATTTTACAATATACTAAGCCACAACGTATAGGTAATGCGTCAAGCACATTTCAGCGAGTAACTAAAACTTCCCTAAGAACATTTTGGTTAAAGATAGTCGAGCCACGAACACTGTTGGACGTGGAAGCATACTGTCGAGCTACCAAAACCGGTTTCGTGACAGGTAACAGAAAACTACTTGGCAGTAAAATAACTGATTCTACACACGAGTATTCATACGATACATATGATTATAATATTGAGATGTACAACGAGGCGGAATAAAATGAAAACGAATGGAGCGGCACAGTCAACATTTTTGAGGAACGGCAAGATGTTCGGAAGAATCCAGTCTGTACCGAATATTTAATTATATTTTTTCCTCTTCAAAGTCTTGCAGATTAATCGTTTCCAAAGACAGAAGAAGCCTTTCTGAACCAACCGTAGAATTGCTCGCAAAATGTGCATTCCTTGGAACTACACTTCCACCCTTACGAACATTGCTCTCACTAACAGTCACAGCGCGAAAGAGCACCCCGTACCAGAAAGACAGCCAGGTACTCTTCAAAAAAGGCCTCTGACAGAAACTGTTCCATAGGCGTTCCACAAGAATTGGAATTGATCACTACTCAACCCATTGTGGACAGCAGTTATTTGAGCACCTCTGCAGTTTTTGCCGTCTGTTTTATCAGTAGCTAATAATTCATCAAAGTTCTATCAGTGCATAATATATATGATGTTTCTTAAAAAAAGTTAATGACGACTTTGTAACTTAAGAAAAATGCTACATAAACCAAAAATGACTAACTATCCTTTTACCGTGCACATACGAAGTTATTTCTCATTCAGAATGGTAAAAGTGCCTTGAAAAAATCGCAGAAAAGGAACGAGGACAAGCAGATACACACATCAATCCTACCATGGACATGATATTGTGGCGAGAATCTTGTTTCAACCTCGAAAAAGATCAAATAGCTAGCAGCGGTCAAAAAAAAGTAGATAACAGTAAATGTAAAAAATTAGACAACAGTTTATAGATAA